AAACATTTTTATTATGTTTGAAAAAAAGATTTGCTTGAAAATCTTTATAAATTTCTTTTCTTATTGTTGATAGAATAACTTCAATGTTACATGCCTTGGCAATAAAAAATCTTATGATAATAAATCAAATTTGATTTTAGAAAATTATATGATTTATAGAAGAAAAATAATATTATTATTAAATATAATAATTATATATAATACATGAGTATAATATAATAGTTGATAAAAATATTTTAAAAAAATTATTAAATATCGTAAAGGTAGCAAAAATCAATACTTTTTATCTATTTGATTTTTAAACTTTATACTTTTAAACATTATAGACAATTTTTATAACCAGATTTGGATTCAATATATGAAAATAGAAGAAATTTTTCCATTCTCAAATAATAAAACCTTGATTTGATTTATCGCTTATTATTTTCTCCCAGTTATTTTCTACGTAATTAAATTTGTAAACCAGAATGTAATTACGACCTTCTTTTACATTATTAAATACAAGATGTGTGTATTTTACGTGTGAATGCATGTAAAAATTCTAAGATATTATATTGCATGGTATGCTACTATTTTATCGTATCGTAGAAAATGTATTGATTAGTCTATCGCGTAGAATACGTAATATAATTAATTATAACTTTCCATAGACAAACTAGGTCATTTATATTCAAGTGTAATTTTTTTTTACTGTAGCAGTTTTTAAAAGTTTTTATCTTTCCTGGATTTTTTGAAATATTCTGAAAAAAATTTGGAATGACTTATGAATGTCTTTAAATCAAATTATTTTTCAGGAACATCAAAAATTCAATATAACGTAATATAATATAATTTTAAGAAAATTTAAAATTTAATCTTGATTTATTTAATATGAATTTCTCAAGATAGAAAAAAACTCGGTTCAGATCTTAATAAATGATCTTGTAATAAAGACATTACGTAAACGATTTCTCATTGTTGCAAAATGTGGTACAAGGTTCATCGAAATTACCATCTTCCTTTAACAAGTATTTAAAATTAATCTCTAGTAATAAAGAAAAATATCATTAGAATTCCTTGATACATTATTTCTTGATCTCTTGCAACAGCTCATTCATCAAGCAAAGCTTCCAGGTTTCTAAATCTTCTAAGTACCTTCAAGTTATCCTAACAAACGATCACGTTGTGCGAGGAACTTTAGCCTTCGGGGAAATGATTTGCAATAAATTCACTTTTCCAAGGCTTGATACCAAACTTACGCAACATTCTTTCTCAGAGGAATTTATTTAATATGATCCATTTCAACATTTCTAATGGAATAAGATTTTGTTTATTTGCGAGGAAACATTAGAAATGAATAGAAATTTTAATTAATATTCTAATGATAGTAGCAATATTGAATTTAGATAAATACGATATCATATATATAATTAGATGTATATTTTTACTTAACAAAGAATCTTATCCAATTTATGATTTAGACTAAATGGAATGAAATAGAAAATAATATCAAAATGTTAATAATATATATTTGTTTTATTAAATATGTTAATATATTTTCTTCAAGTTTTAATATTAAAATTATAATAATTAATATACAATGTACATGTAAAATTTTGTAATTTAGAATTACAAATTGAAATATGATTATATGCAAATTTTATAATTTTAAAATATGGTTTTACACATATATGACAAATCGTTGTTAATTACCGAAGTTATTAAATTCTAATTAATAATAATTAGCAATACAAATGTATTTATATACAATAATTAGGTTATCTCGAAATATTATTAATTATTAATTATTCTAGCATTATTCTTTTTATTAATATTTTTTAAACTCTAAAAATCCTTCAATTTCATTATAATTTTGAAGGAAATTAAGGAAAAATTGAGAGAAAATTATACAGGGTTTAATTCAGATAAGATTTTCTTTTTGTTAAATTTTTTTAATAAAAATATAAATTAATCAATCTTATATATAGATATATCTTAATAAATAATTAACGAATTTCAATTTATACTAAATTTATTTAAATTATAATTTTTTTTTTAAAGATTTTACTAGATTTCTATAAGGAAATTTCTCACATAAAAATTATTCGTCAAAACGAATAATGAAAATTCGATGAATAAAAAATACGATAAACTGCCATTTGCAAAACTTTTCATATTCATTATCAAAAGTTGAATAGAGAAAAATCTTATAAATTCTTGAATAAATGTGAACGTAAATGGCGACTAACGCGTCACATTTAATGTATCGGAAGGGAATTCTCGTTCTGATGTTTAAGGAGCCGCGATTACCGGCCACATGCTGAGACACGTAAATTGATACAGAAACAGAAACGATTGCCACACGTTTCCAAAGAGGGTTTTGTCGTTTTCTTCGCCGGATACCGTTAATGGAACCAAGCACGTCTTAGCAAAAGGATCGTGAGATACGTAAGTTACGTAAGTTAGTTGCTTGGTAAAAGTGGGTCGTCTCTCTGTAAGGGAGGCTTGATAACTTTCAAACGGATCTCTCAATAGACTTTTGATGATTTTAAATAATTTTGGATTCGAATCGATTTTGAACTATTGGATAATACAATGCAGAACTATTTGAATATTTAAAAAAACAAACGCAGAATTTGTTTTATAATTGATATCGAGTTATGTTTTCAAAAATTTTGAATTTGTAATCGATTTCTTTTTGTAATTGGATATGGAAATAATTTTAAAATTTTTAATTTTTGATAAAACGCAATTTATTTTCTTATCGATATTAAGTTATATAAGTTTGGAGAATTTTTATTTGTTGAATTTTCACTGTTTTTTTTTTTAATTATATATGGAGGAATTTTTTAAACATTTAATTTTTGATATAAGATAAGATTAATTTTTGTTATTGATATGAGTTGTATAAATTTGAAAAATTTTAAATTTATATAATGAATATAATGATAACATTTCTTTTAATTATAGTTTTTTGATAATATAGAATTTTATTATTAATATTAAGTTATTAAATTTTTAACAGTATTCCTTAATCTTTTTGAGTTAATTTTTATGATGACATTATAATTGTTAAAAATGAAAATTTTTAACTTCTAAGAATAAAATATTTTGATATTACTTGATACTTGATATAACTATAACTTATTATTTATTTAAGAACAAAAAGATACAGAAATTAAATATAAAAATATTTAAAACCTTAAAATATAAAATATTTTTGATTTATTTTTTGATAAAGAATTCATTTATACCTGGTTGTATTACATAATTCAACATGTATATTGAGAATTATTTAAAAATATATATTTTTACAAAAATAAGATAAAACATTGCCTAAAAAATATCGGATGTCATGGTTCATATAAATAATCGCGTGATAAAAACGAAATGATGAGGAAAAATTAAAAAAAAACCACTAAAAACTATTTTAATTATTTGACAATAATATTTATTATTAAAAAAAATTACATTTTTTACAAATTCTCATGATTAATATAAAATTAATTAAATAATATTTAATACAATCCATGATCTCAAATATAAAATCTCAATACCGTTAATATTCAATCATGATTGAAAATGACTATAATCTATTATTTGTGGATTGTTTTAAAGATTATTTCATATAGATATTTTTGATCAATATCGATATCCAAACTCTATCAATTTTTGACAGAAACAGGCTAAATTATGCGAGTTTCCATAAAAGTCGAGATTCGTTATTCGATGTTACAAAATTGAGGACTCTACGGAATATCCTTCATATCGATAAAATCATTTGTACCATGATACGATTTTTATCGATAATTTTGTTAACTGACAAGTTTGATCGCTATATATTTGCAACCTTTTCCATAGGGAGTAATGATTGATGCGAGAATCGAGAACCAATGACAAAAAGGAAAAAGTGACAACGATAAAAAAAATATCAATGAAAATTCAAAAGTTCAAATCGAACTCAAAAAGAATTCTTTTATTATATTGAACAACTGACAAACGTGTGAAAGAACGTCGATTCTGAGCGATATGTATATTAGAAAGGTACCTTGAACTATAGAAACGGAGATTGAACAATAGTAGATACGTGACATGAATGTGTGTTACATGCATGTGTGAAAGATTGAGCCCTGCAGACAAGAGAGTATGAATTCGTCTCTCACGAATTTTTTGGAGTTTAAGCATAAAGTGTAGGTTCAACATCAAGGAATATTTTACTTCAAAAGATCAAAAAAATCAACTTTTCAATCTTTGTGATTCAATTTTATTTTATTTGAAAATTTGAATATGATAAAAGTGCTTTATGATAAAAAGTAATTCTTATAATCTGTAATAATTTTTCGCATTCTGCATAATTTCTAATAAGCTCTTAACAGAAAATTTCAATTTTAAAAATTGAACATTATTGTTAACACAAAAAAATAAAATTATTAAAAATAAAGTATATTTATATTTGTATAAAATTTTCATCTTTAAAATTAGATTTTTGTTTAAACTTTATTCGAAAAAGATGTATAAAATAAAAAATATATTTTCATGATATTATTATACACATGATATTACAATATCTATAATCATTACACGTGTAATTTAGTTTAATTTAAAAAGAATTTGTTTAACATCTTACTTTTTAAAAAAAAACTCGAAATAAATCCATAATCATTTCATTTCTTTTTTGATGTAATATTTTAATTGAATCAAAGAATTTATTGTTATATCTACGATCACAAAATTATAAATTAAAAATATTTTTTTTCGTTGAAAAAAAAAATATATATATAAAGATACATATCAAGAATTATGATCGTAAATATTTCCTATCGATGAGTAATATCTGTGTAATAAAAAGTAGGAAAAAAAAAAAGAATTTTTTATTGTTCCATCGAGACAACGTCGTCATATAACGCAACTCTTCCGTTCACGATCCATATTTATGGCCAGGTCCGCGTATCTCGGCTTGCCGGTAATCCATGACGGCTAGGTTAGGTTTTCGGCACGTTTTCACAGCGTATACAACATAACCTCACCGCTCCAAGTCGAAGACGTGTGTTCTTCGCCTAGAATCATATGCATATTTACGTTGCGCTGCGGAAAGCAACACGCATCGACGTACGTACGTTTTACTCGCTTACTTTCACGAGGAATGACTCAGGGGCTCTGCGCCCCTGCGATGATTGCGGTTTGAGATCAGGGGTGTGAGGGGCGGTGCGAAAAGCGTGCTGATTCTCGCATACATTGCGCAGGACGTCGGCGCCTTAGCGTTACGACCACCCCCTGACCGATTCGGTCGTTGTTTGCTAGCTCCATATCGCGAACGTCCGCGTGGAGAGAAGACGGACGGATCGCGTCGTTGTTTCGTTCTTTCGTATGTGAAAAAGCACTCGCGTTTTTCTCTGATTTATTTTTAACTAAGTAAAAGGAAAAAGGTTTTCCCTTCGATAGGATCGATCGAAGTTGCACATCGAAAATATATAAATCTTATGCAAGAAGGAAATAAGAAGAAGTTGAAAAGAATCGAATTAAGAAGCAGTGTGCCTCTATTCCCATGAACCCGTGGTGAGGAGGAGTGGTGCTGGTGATAGTGGTGGTGGTTGCGGTAAAACGTGTCCACGAACTCTTGCCCTCCTCCTCCTCCTTCTCCTCCTCCTTGACTCCCCCTAGGAGCCGGTACAACAGGACGTTAAGAGACGAGGGTGAACAAAAGGGTCGTTTTCTGGGTTCGTCAATACTCGAACAAGATTTTCTCATTCTCGTCTGGTATTTTTCATATTTCTTGGCTGGTGGAATTGTGTGGCCGTAGTGAAACGTGTGCAGATATGCGCGTGCTATCGATCACGCGACCCGATTGCGCGGATATGTGATACCGGAAGTAGGTACGGCAGGCTTGACCTGCGTGCAGGTGCTCCACAGTGCGTGCCACGTATGCGTACATACATAGGGGCGAGCAGCGACAGAGTAGAGAAGGGTGCGCGAGAAGAGGCCGCGTGTCAGGGCCAGTCGTGAAGATGCACGCCACCGACGCCGTCGACGTGACGGCGTCCCTGCCGTCATCCACGTCCTCCGTGGCCGCCTCGAGGAGCTTCGGGCATGAAGTCAGGCTCGTCTTCGTCCTGCTCGTGTCCTGCTGGATCGTCCAGGATCGGCTAGTGCTCGGGATGTCCGAGCCACCGGAGCTAACCACGATTGAAGGTAAATTTTACTCACCCCTTGGATTTGGAAACGTAAATTTTAAGTAGGAAAAGGGAGTTGTTTTAAAATTTTATATGATTTGTTCACAATTAAACGTTTATTTTTATTCCTTCGTTCGAGAAGATGAATTTTTGTGATTTGTTGAGAATATTCTCGTTTTTTTTGAAATGCGTAAAGTTTTGGATAATTTTGCAGGATTGTTGGGAACTTTGTGAATGATGGAATCATTATATGCAGCTTTTTTTTTTTTTAATTCGTTAAACTCGATTTTGAAATAAAATCGAGAAAAAACAAGAATTTATTACAAAAAATATTTAGAAATTCATTATTTTATAAAAATTATATAGAATTGTGATTTAGTATGTTATACAAATCGTAAGAAAATATTTTACTATATTACAATATTCTATTTTAATAAATGTTTAACTATTTTTTAACTACATAGTATATACGAAAATAAGAAAATGGCGAGTTGTTTATAAGAATCCAATTATTTAACAATTTTTTATAATATGATAATTAATTTTTAAGATAAAAATAATAAACAATCTCTGGTTGTATATTTTTTTCAGAAATATGAGAATTTTATGAAACAATTTCATAAAAGACAAATCGAACGTACATATTTAATAATTTTTTAATTATAATATTTTTTTTAAATATAAATCGATCGAAATCTTCTCTTTTTTTTTTTTCGTTTGACCAAAATAAAGAAAAAAAATTTATCGAAAGTTGCTGTAACCGACAGGTTAAATTGATCGAACCGATCGTGTCACTGATTACTGTTTCTTCCACATCTTACACACGGGTTTTTACTGCCGAATCGATATCCAAGCAAATATTATTCCAGCATTGACGAGAAACTACGTGTGGATCGATGTCAAGATCTCTCCGCGTTTTAAGCCTTCTCGTCAGAGCAACGAAACACGTATGCACATCGGATATACAATAAGCTTTTCGCACGATCGAACACACAGTTATTTATCTACAACTGACCTATATATGTATATTTTACGAGTTTTCAAACTATATTGCCAACGATAATCTTTAATGCGTCTTTATGAAATCCGGATAACTATGCTCTTAAAAAAGCAACAAAAATTCAAAAATGTATGTATCGAAAAAGCATAGCATGACAAATGTTTGAACGAGCAATTTTCACAAGTTTCATCCAAAAATTGTTTCATCAAGAATATATATATATATATATGTATGTACATTCATATTTTTATTAATATGGAAGAAATGAAACCTAAATAGAAATTTATTTTACTCAATATTTTAAATATTTTATGTTTTGTTGTATCACGTATATATATATATATATATATATAT